TTTTTTTTTTTATTGATTGGTTGGATACTTCTGTTTTCGTGAATTTTTTGTATTCATTGATTGATTGATTGATTCATTCATTCATTCATTCATTCGATTGGATTGGATTTTGATATCAAGATCGGATCTTGATATGAAGATCGGATCTTGATATCAAGATCGATTGGATGGAACCTATCGAGGTTTCGATTGGATCTTGATATCAAGATCCGATGGATCCGATCGAATCGACGCGACCTAAATCAAAATCCAATCCCATCAATTCGATTTGATACTTCCATTTTAGTAGGACATATGGTATTCGTAGAGGTAGGGGGAGGGTGGAGAGAGAGAGAGAGAGAGAGAGAGAGAGAGAGAGAGAGAGAGAGAGAGAGAGAAGGTAAGGGCCGAGGAGGAGGAGAGGGAGGAGGAAGAGGTAAGGGCCGAGGAGGAGGAGAAGGAGGAGGAGGAGGAGGAGGAGGAGGAAAAGGACGAGGAGGCGGTGATTGATGTCTCTGGCGACTCAGTTACCACCACCGCCTCAGGTACCACCATCGCCGAGGGCCATTCAATGCGAGCGGCCTTCGCCTCAGCTACCGCCTAAACGCGTCAGGTCATTCTTTGTCATCGCGGCAGTCCATTGTGTGTGTGTGTGTGTGTTTGTTTGAATTTTTTTTCTGTTTTTTTAATCAAACACAATCAAATGTTTTCGTTTTTTTTTTTATTGATTGATTGGATACTTCTGTTTTCGTGTATTTTTTGTATTCATTGATTGATTGATTCATTCATTCATTCATTCATTCATTCATTCATTCATTCATTCGATTGGATTGGATTTTGATATGATCAAGATCGGATCTTGATATCAAGATTGATTGGATGGAACCTATCGAGGTTTCGATTGGATCTTGATATCAAGATTCGATGGATCCGAGGGAATCGACTCGACCGAAATCAAAATCCAATCCGATCGATTCGATTTGATACTTCTGTTTTCGTTTATTTTTTTAATGAATGATTGATTGATTGATTGTTTGATTGGTTGTTTGTTTGGTTGATTGATTGACTCATTGTTTGATCGACCCGGAGTCTCTGCTGCACTTCCATTTTAGTAGGAGATATGGTATTCGTAGAGGTAGGGGGAGGGTGGAGAGAGAGAGAGAGAGAGAGAGAGAGAGAGAGAGAGAGAGAGAGAGAGAGAGAGAGGAAAGGGGCGAGGCCGGCGAGGAGGAGGAGGAGGAGGAGGAGGAAGAGGTAAGGGCCGAGGAGGAGGAGGAGGAGGAGGATGAGGAGGAGGGTCATTCAATGCCAGCGGCCTTCGCCTCAGCTACCACCATCGCGACAGGCCATTTTGTGCCATCGCGGCAGGCCATGGTGTGTGTGTGTGTGTGTGTGTGTGTGTGTGTGTGTGTGTGTGTGTGTGTGTGTGTGTGTGTGTGTGTGTGTGTGTGTGTGTGTGTTCGAGCTTGAATGATTTTTTTTATAGTTTTTTTAATCAAATACAGTCAAATGTTTTTTTATTTTTTTTATTGATTAATTGGATACATCTGTTTTCGTATATTTTATGTATTGATTGATTGATTGATTGATTGATTGTCCGACTTTTTTTTTTTCCATTCAATCAATCAATCAATCAATCAACGATAAAAAAACATCCAATCGATTTAATCGGAATGGATTTTGATTCCGATTGAATTGAATCGATGGTTTCAATCGGATCTTGATATCAAGATCCGATCTATCCGATCAAATCGATTCGACCGAAAGAAAAATCCAATCCGATCGATTCGATTTGATACTTATGTTTTCGTTTATTTTTTTAATGAGCGATTGATTGATTGTTTGATTGATTGATTGTTTGATTGGTTGTTTGTTTGATTGGTTGTTTATTTTTTTTAATGAATGATTGATTGATTGTTTCGTTTGATACTTTTGTGTTCGTTCATTTTTTTATCGATTGATTGATTGTTTCGTTTGATACTTCTGTGTTCGTTCATTTTTTTATCGATTGATTGATTGACTGTTTCATTGATTGATTGACTAATTGATTGATCGACCCGGAGTCTCTGCTGCACTTCCATTTTAGTACGAGATATGGTATTCGGATGAGATGATATGAAGATCCGATCGAATTAATCGATTCGATGCAGTCGAAATCAAAATCCAGTCCGGTCGATTCGATTGGATACTTCTGTTTTCGTTAATTTTGTTTCTGAATAAATGAATGAATGAATGATTTATCGATTGATTGGTTGATTGATTGATCGATTGATCGACTCGGAGTCTCCGGTTTCAGTAGGAGATATTAAGGGGGAGAGAGAGAGAGAGAGAGAGAGAGAGAGAGAGAGAGAGAGAGAGAGAGAGAGAGAGAGAGAGAGAGGGAGAGAGAGAGAAAGAGAGAGTGAGTGAGAGAGATGGAGGGAGGAAAGAGGCGAGGCCGGCGAGGAGAAGGAGGAGAAGGAGGAAGAGGCGGAGGAGGAGGAGGAGGAGGAGGATAGAATCGATATGACCGGATGGATCGGATCTTGATATCAAGATCCAACCGAATTACTCGACTCCATTGCATCTCGAAAGCAAGATCCAATCGGTTGGACACTTCAGTTTTCGTTTATTTTTTTGGCAGATTGATTGATTATTTTATCGGATCTTGATGGTCATATGTATGATGCGGTCTGATTTCCATGACAAGACATTGAATCGCACTGTGTGTCAGTGACACGATGTATTGTCCCTTGTTTCGCGTTGTGAAAGGCGGAGCGTTGACGAAGACGAAGCGTCGATGAAGGCTACTGCATAACGCCACCCGGTTGTGTAACTGCATCCCCCGACAACAGGCATCATGACATATCCGTTTCAGGACACCAGCACGACAGTTCTACTCAACAACACCCCATCCTGTATGTGGAGATGGCATCGAAAGGTAAGGTATGCGCCCGTTGTTTCTCCTCGGTGTCCCATTTCTGCATATCTATATTCGCACTTCAAAGGTCCGACAGCGGCTACACAGAGCCTCTACATGACAATGTGTATATTTTTACTCTGATGGTCCGGCGTCCTCCAGGCGCTAGACCATCCCATGGTCCGTTGTTCTCGAGGCATCGCGGCGCTTACACAGTGATCAGAGGCAGACGTTACACGTAGCCTCCGATGGTCCATTTTTCTCGAGGCGTCGCAGAGGTTGCACAGCGATCACAGGCAGTGGTTGCACACAGCCTCCGATGGTCCGGCGTCCTGGAGGCGCCAGATCATCCCATGGTCCGGCGTCCTCAAGGGGCCAAACCATCCCATGGTCCGGCGTCCTCGAGGCGCCAGACCATCCCATGGACCGTTTTCCTCGAGACGTCGCAGAGCTTGCACAACGACCACAGGCAGAGGTTGCACAGAGCCTCTGATGGGCGGGCGTCCTGGAGGCGTCGGACCATCCCATGGTCTGGCGCCTCGAGAACACCGGACCACCAGAGGCTCTATGTACCGTCTGCCTGTGTTCACTGTGCTACCTCGGCGAGGTTGTTCTCGTGGTCCGTTGTTGTCGAGGCGTCGCCGAGGTTGCACAGTGAACACAGGCAAAGGTTACACAGTGTTTCCGATGGTCCAGCATCTTGGAGGCGCCGGACCATCCGATGGTCCGGCGTCCCAGAGGCGGCAGACCATCCCATGGTCGGTTGTTCTCGAGGCGTCGCCGAGGTTGCACGGTGAACACAGGCAGACGTTACACAGAGCCTGCGATGGTCCGACGTCCTCGAGGCGCCAGACCATCCCATGGTCCGGCGTCCTAGAGGCGCCAGACCATCCTATGGTTTGTTGTTCTCAAGGCGTCGCCGAGGTTGCACAGTGATCACAGGCAGAGGTTGCACAGAGCCTCCGACGGTCCGGCGTCTTGGAGGCGTCGGACCATCCCATGGTCTGGCGCCTCGAGGACGCCGGACCATCGGAGGCTCTGTGTAACGTCTGTCTGTGTTCACTGTGCTACCTCGGCGAGGTTGTTCTCGTGGTCCGTTGTTCTTGTGGTGTCGCCGAGGTTGCACAGTGAACACAGGCAGAGGTCACACAGTGTTTCTGATGGTCCGGCGTCTTGGAGGCGCCAGACCATCCCATGGTCCGTTGTTCTCGAGGCGTCGCCGAGGTTGCACGGTGATCACAGGCAGACGTTACACAAAGCCTCTAAAGGTCCGGAGTCCTCGAGGCGCCAGACCATCCCATGGTCCAGCGTCCTAGAGGCGCGAGACCATCCCATGGTCCGGGGTCCTAGAGGCGCCAGACCATCCCATGGTTCATTGTTCTCGAGGCGTCGCCGAGGTTGCACAGTGAACACAGGCGGAGGTTGCACAGTGCTTCCGATGGTCCGTCAGAGGTTGCAGAGGTTGCAGAGTGAACACAGGCCGAGGTCGCCGAGGTTGCACAGTGAACACACGCCGAGGTTGCAAAGTGAACACAGGCAGAGGTTGCACAGTGCCGCCAAGACACCGGACCATCGGAGGCTCTGTGTAACGTATGCGTGTGTTCACTGTGCTACCTCGGCGAGGTTGTTCTCGTGGTCCGTTGTTCCCGTGGCGTCGCCGAGGTTGCACTGTGAACACAGGCAGAGGTTACACACTGTTTCTGATGGTCCGGCGTCTTGGAGGCGCCAGACCATCCCATGGTCCGTTGCTCTCGAGGCGTCGCCAAGGTTGCATGGTGATTACAGGCAGACGTTACACAGAGCCTCCGATGGTCCGGCGTCTTGGAGGCGCCAGACCATCCGATGGTCCGGCGTTCCGGAGGCGGCAGACCGCCCCATGGTCCGCCGTCATAGAGGCGCCAGACCATCCCTGTGATCACAGGCAGAGGTTGCACAGTGATCACAGGCAGAGGTTACACAGAGCCTCCGATGGTCCGACGTCCTCGAGGCATCAGACCATCCCATGGTCCGGCGTCCTCAAGGCGCCAGACCATCCTCCCTCCTTCTTCTGTCCTTCCTCTCCCTCTTCTTCTCCCGATACTGTGAGAGAGATTACAGACACAGGTTGCAAAGGGTCTGCCGCCTCGTCGCCGAGGTTGCAAAGTGAGAGAGATTACAGGCAAAGGTTAGGCAATGGGACAGATTACAGGCAGAGGTTATACCAAGATTACAGGCAGAGGTTACATGCATCGTCGAGGTCACACAGTGCATGAGATTGCTGGCATAGGTTTTGCAGACCCTCCGATGGTCCGGCGTCGTCGAGGCGCCAGACCATCGGAGGGCCCGGAGTCACCAGACCCTCCTCCTTCCTTCTTCCTTTCCTTCCTCTTCCTCTTCTTCCCCGGATACTGTGAGAGAGAATACAAGCACACGTTGCACAATGCAAGAGATTGTTGGCAGAGGTTGGACAGTGGGAGAGACTACAGGCAGATGTTATACCGAGAGACAAAGGTCACACAGGGCCTCCCGCCTCGTCGTCGAGGTCACACAACGCGTGAGATTGCTTGCAGAGGTTTTGCAGACCCTCCTCCCTCCTCCCTCCTTCTTCCTTGCCTTCCTCTTCCTCTTCTTCTCTGGACACTGTGAGAGAGATTACAAGCACAGGTTACACAGGGCCTGCCACCATGTCGTCGAGGTTACACAGTGTCTGCGCAGGTTGGGATGCTTAGATGAATCTTCACCTAACGTTTGTTGGCAGAGGTTTCACAGTGCGAGAGATTGGTGGCAGAGGTTACACAGTGAGAGAGATTACGGGCAGAGGTTAGACAGTGGGAGAGACTACAGGCAGAGGTTATACCAAGATTACAGGCAGAGGTTACACAGGGCCTGCCGCCTCGTCGTCGAGGTTACACATTGCTCAGATAATACTGCCAGCGGTTATTCGGATATTACTGGTAGCGGTTACATAGGGCCTGGTGCCACGTCATCGAGATTAACACTACGAGAGATTGCTGGCAGAGGTTATACAGACCCTCCGATGGTCCGGCGTCGTCGAGGCGCCAGACCATCAGAGGGCTCGGCGTCACCACACCCTCCTCCCTCCTTCTTCCTTGCCTTCCTCTTCCTCTTCTTCTCTGGATACTGTGAGAGAGATTACAAGCACAGGTTACACAGGGTCTGCCGCCTCCTCGTCGATGTTACACACGTCATCGAGGTCACACAGTACGTGAGATTGCTGGCAGAGGTTTTGTAGACCGTCCGATGGTCCGGCGTCGTCGAGGCGCCAGACCATCGGAGGGCCCGGAGCCACCAGACCCCCCTCCTTCCTTCTTCCTTTCCTTCCTCTTCCTCTTATTCTTCGGATACTGTGAGAGAGAATACAAACACACGTTGCACAGTGCGAGATTATAAGCAGATGTTATACCGAGATTACTGGCAAGGGTCACACAGGGCCTGCCGCCTCGTCGTCGAGGTTACACAGTGAGAGAGATTACAGGCTGAGGTTAGACAGTGGGAGAGATTACAGGCAGAGGTTGCTCAGATAATGCCAGCGGTTACTCGGATATTACTGGCAGCCGTTACACAGGGCCTGGCGCCACGTCGTCGAGGTTACACACTACGAGAGATTGCTGGCAGAGCTTATACAGACCCTCCGATGGTCCGGCGTCGTCGAGGCGCCAGACCACCGGAGGGTCCGGCGTCACCAGACCCCTCTCCTTCCTTCTTCCTTGCCTTCCTCTTCCTCTTCTTCTCTGGATACTGTGAGAGAGATTACAAGCACAGGTTATGCAAGGCCTGCCGCCTCGTCGTTGAGGTTGCACATTCAGAGAGATTACAGGCAGAGCTTACACAGCGATTACATGCAGAGGTTAGACAGTGGAAGAGATTACAGGCAGAGGTTGTACCGAGATTACAGGCAGAGGTTGTACCGAGATTACAGGCAGAGGTTACACAGATATTACAGGTAGAGGTTACTCATATATTACGGACAACGGTTACAAAAGGCCTACCGCCACGTCGTCGAGGTTACACAGTGTCTGCGGAGGTTGGGATGCTTAGATGAATCTTCAACTAACATTTGTTTCCGTGTATTACGTCGGTGTCGAATGCGGTGTTATGCAGCTGCTTGCTCGTTAGGGGTCTCTACGCCGAAGGTTGTCAGAAGAGCGGTCACGTTCCAAGAGAAGTATTGGGCAATCGATTGGCACCTCGGTATGAAGGTCCCCTGTTGCAGGCCATGCATTTTCTTGCGGGATGAGAGTGACAGTTACTACCTATGCGGGGGTATCAAGACGTACTCGTTTGATAAGAACATGCCTGACGAGGAGTACATGAGATTCCATTTGACGACGTGTTTCGACAGCGATGGTCACGAGGTGCCTGGCAACAACAAGCTCGTGTCTCTCCAAGTCGACAAGTTCCAAGGTTACGGCATCCGCGCTGCATCAATGCCTCCGTTCGACAAGTCCAAGAAGAAGGATGCGTCGCAGATGGTGGTGCTCAGACCGTTCGAGTTCCTCAAACGCGTTAATTGCTATAAGGTGTCGAACCATATCGTGACGATTGACAACAACCTGCAGTTGTCAAATCCCTTTCTGTCCGTCGACTGTGATCTTGAAGACTTCGCAGACATGGTGCGACGTCACAAACTCCAGGCGATGGGCCAAGGCTTTTTGCGAACTACCGTCTCTGTGAGCTCGCCAAAGGCGGTGGGCAAGAGTTGTGGGGAGCCGAAAACATCCGCCCGTATGAGCAAAAGTGGGGCCGCATCGACACAGGCCAAGAGCGTGAGCAAGTCAGCTTCTCTGCTCCAACCGAAGGGTGTGTCTGCGACGCAGGCACCATCACATGTAGAATATGCGGCACGCATTTCTTTGACTCCGCCTGGTGGGGCCACTGACCATAAGGATGACGACGAAAACACAGAGAAGGACTTGCGCTTCTTCAACTCAGACGGTGGGCGGTGGCCCGATGGCAATGCTGCGAAAGACACGGAAGGGGACGAAGACGAACAGCGGTTCCGCGACGGTGCACACGATGAAGAGGGAAGCTTGGAGGATGGCTTCGCCGGAGGTGATGGTAATGAAGGCCAAGAGGATGGTGGGCACGAAGGCGATGGGAGTGAAGAAGAAGAAAATGAGGATGCAAGTGACGAGGACGCCGCAGAACGGGAAGACAATTACGAAGGGGGGAACGAAGGAGATGAGGGTGGGGCGGACGACGACGACGACGGGAATAGAGGGTCGCAGAAAAGGCGGGAACAGTCTTCCCGTGACACTAGTCATGATGGTCCGGCAGAAGATGACGATGTGCTGCATGGCACACATAGGTCTATGTGCATGCACAAGAGGAAAATAAGATGTGGGAAAGCAGAGGAAGAGAAGCGGAGACAAGCTAAGCTCATCAGCCTACAGGCCTCAAAGGAGGCTTACAAGGGATCCTTAGAGACGCAATCCGCTAAACCAGCAAAGGAAAAGCGTGAACGCACTCGATCTTCCCAGAGGCCGAAAAAGAAAGCAACGGTCGATGAGAGAAAGGAAGTGGCGGACTCTATGGACGAAGCGGCGGGGGTCGACCCGAGACATACGGCGTCAAAGCTTGGAGAGTTGACCAACGACACTATCGACACCACGAAATGTTTTTTCCTGGAATACGACGAGGACGACAATGCGATAGATCGGCCTACCCGAGTTTTCGTTGATGTAGTCAAAATACTGCCCAACCCTTCGGAAGGCGTGCAATACAACCACAGGCCGTTGAACGAGATGTTGGTCACCTCTATCAGGGACGCAATGGAACACCCCGAAAAGCAGAAGGAGTGGGATAGAAACACCTAGATTTTTGCTCCTATCGTTGAAGTGGAGAAGGATGGCTGGAAGCGGCGGGAACATGTGAAGCCGGAGGACTGGGATGATGACAAGGTTGTCTCCTACCATTGGTACATAGTGGCCGGCCAACATACAGCGGAGGCAGCAAATAGGCTGGTCGCTGCAAAATCGTCTGCTGCACACAAGTGGGACGCGCATTCTTGGAAGGCGCGGGTTGTCTATTTTGACGACGACCATTTGGAGGGGTATGCGTACATCTCCACGTTTGACAACACCAGGGAGACACGTGCTATCCAGTCGTCGTTTCGAATGGCTGTGACTGCTATAAGAGGACTCTGGCAGAGTATGAAAGAGCCAAAAGGTGATTGGCATCAAACAAAAAATGGTGGAAGAGAGGACAACACAGCGTGACCAATATCAGGAGTTTGTACGGAAAGCTATACAGATGACTCCTGACACCTCGCTCTAGAACCAGTCGTTGGGAAAAAGATTTGTGAGGAATTGGTCAAACCTTTTGAGGCCCTACATGTGTCTTGCTGCGAGCGGCAGGGTTGTGTGGAATCTGGTTAAGAAGTTCTTTGACAAATGGTAAAAAGGCGAACTGCCAGGGCAGGACGACGTGAGACCAGTGGATCGGGAAGGGAAAGCAGGTGAGGCAACAGGACCATGCCCTGCAACGAAGACGGTCAAAGGCAAAAAAGTGTTGGTGCACTATGTCCATTCCAACAAGAGCTCACCGGGTTTCTATGTTTGCATCAATGATCCCCCCGCGAGCACATGGAAGGTGTTTGGTGATTTCACATCAAGGGAGAAGGAGATGAACCTCGAGAAAATACTTGCGGGACACGTTGTCGTCACGAGCGGAAGGGCATTTGTGAAAAAACTGATGAACATGCAAGACCTGTACGTGGAGGTGAAAATGGAGAAATATATGGTTCGCATGTTTAACTATGTCCTCTTCAAGATAGAGCAAAGGTTGGAGTGAAAGTGTAATGACAAGTTCTTCATTGGCTACGAGACCATAATGAGGCGGTTTGCACCACGAGGGTTGACGACAGAGAAATGGGAAGAAACCAAGTCCAATATCGTAGCAGAGAAGACTATCGATGTCCCGAAACGATTGGGCGGCGTGGATGAGGCAAAACTAGGAAAAGAAAATGTCGGGGGGTACAAGGTGACGACTGCAATATATATGGAGTGTCCGTACTTTCTCAAGTTTTTCGTGCATGAGATTCTTGGCGCAGTTGAGCAATTGAGGGACGAGCTGAGACGGATCAGCTCAAATGCTCAACACATAATGTGGGACAAACGCAAAGATCACACGACGTATCTTCCTGTCTGCATCACACCTATGGATGCACTGCACCCGGCAGAAGATTTGACTCGTGTTGTGAGAAAGCTGAGTTGTCACCTTGCAGTATTGGACTTGGCTCCGTTGAAGAATCTCGACGCATGAAGCGAGCAAAGGTTTCACGAGCTCCGCCAAATGATGACGGTGTTGTGCGGGTCGCATTGGGCGCTAATCATATTCAGCGCATTGAAAGTCGAGGAAACGGTGATGAGGAACATCTTCAGGTGGAATGGTGTGAGAGTTCTTCTAGGGCGTTGGCGTCGTTATAGCGAAGCAGCATCATCCTGCGCCCAAGTTGGCAACCTTTCGTTGAGAGGGCGCGACTCCATGACCATTGTGCTGCACGATACAGACAACGACTTGAAAAAGGTCACGGTCGCAAAGCCTCGTGCGAACACTCTCTTCGACACGCATTACGTGAAGGAGTTATTTGTACGATGTACAAAAGAGGCAATCCGCGTGCGAAGCAATAGCGAACCTGTGTACGGGATATGGTAGAGGGAACGTGCAAAGATGAAAGACTTGTGCACTTGGTTTTCGAGGGAAGGAGAAGGTGTTCTGTTACTGGGCAACGTTCAGGCAGGAACAACGTGGGACTTGCTGCGCTCAAGACGCCATGTCGTCGCATGTGATGGTTCCTCAAACCTGATGGAGTACTCCACTTTGTTTATCGATCTCTACGTTCACAATCCGGATAACAGGTGTCACTGTGAACGTCCGAAACCTCAACATCGTGCAGACCGAGACATGTTCCTGAAACTCGGCAAGAAGAGGGACTCTCTGTGGAGCTATCTTTTCAGAATCTGCAATGCACTCGCAACACCAACAGATGCAGATTATCTGCACCGTAAGGTGATAGCGATCCAGCATCTACAAAGGATATCACAACGCCAAACGCGGTGCAATTGAGATATTTCTGGGCCGATGTGAACACCTATGGTTTGAAAGGAAGCGAGCCAAAATTGATGCCAAGGTTTACTGCGAGGTAATGGACGTTGAAGAGCAGTTTGACATTATGGACAGTGAGGAGGAGGCAGAGGGTGAGGAGATTGACCTGCCATTGTCGGATGCACATCAAAATGGAGTGAGAGACGAAACGTCTCCGCTGTCCACTATGGGTGGTAAACAAGCGATGGAGGAAGATGTTGGCAGCACTATTGCGAATACCAAGCCCGATAATATGATGTGTGGAACAACGCCGAAAACAGGTGGTGCAATGGAAGGCAGCACATCCAAGTGCGGCATGAAGGAACTACCCTAGGATTCGTTTCGCTGGTGAGGAGAATTTGCAATGACATAGAAGGAGCGGCGATCGACGAGACTCAAAATGTTGCACGTGCAGACAAGGAATCAGTGGACGCCAAAGATGGGATGGACATAGAGGATGATCCCCTCTTTCACATCCCGGACGACGTCCCCAAACAACTTGCACCGGGTGATAATATATCATATGACAGGAAGGAGATGAAAGGAGGACCTCACTTTCTAGAAACCAAGTTCAAAGAGTCATATGAACACGACTAGGGGCATCACATCATATGGCATCCAGGTCTTTTCGAGCCTTGTGTGATTGATGGCAGATGGCATTTGGCTATCCGAATGGGTGGGAAATGGGTGTTCAGGAAAAGAGTCCTCAGGAGCAGGTTTTATGAAATCGCAAAGGACAACTTGTCTACCCGCGTGAAGCAGGCGAACAGAGAGGCCCCAGACCACAAAATATCAGACAAAGTGAACTCGTTATTCGAGTTCCTGCGTGAAAATCACCTTCTCGAGTATAACGCTGCGTTCTACGATAAAAAATTGAGTCCATCCTATAAAGCTGTCATATGGTCTGTGGACTACCGTGCAACAAACTGTATATACGTCAGCGACATACTTGTGGGATGCAGTCAAGGCCTTGAGGGACACACAGGTGCAAGGAAGAAGATCGATTCAGCAGCAGCAGGAGGTGGTGGCGAGAGTGTGGCAGACAAGGAAGGGCATCTCAGGATGCAAAACGCAATGGGAGATGAGTTCAGTGAGCGGCGATCGAGCACACCGCAACCAACACTTAGACCGTCAGAAGGCATCAGTGTAGTGGGAGTCAGAAGTGAGACAACACCAACAGCAGGCAGGGAAGTTGTTGGCGATGACAGGAAGGACGAAAAGATTGAAGAGGACGAGCGACAAAAAGCATCAGACGAAGAAGGGCCAAAACTCCAGGCACATGAGGTAGTGAAGGCGGAGGCAGGGAAGGCCGATTCGCATTCCAAACAGTCGTAAGGAACACACGATACGACTGTCATCACTGCAGAGGCGCAAGGCACCGACGAAGACATAAGGGAGCAAAGTGCACATCAGAAAGATGGGGGGGAAGGACCAGTGCTTATGGAATGCATAAGTCCAGGAACGTTGTCGGTGCGAATACCCTAACAAGGGTATCCGCCCAGGTTTTTGCAAATAACAGAAAATTGTTTGGTATAAAGTTTAAGTATACCTCGCTAAGCGCGGCTGCGTTTGTTATTGCGTTGACTAGGTGGTTGACCACAATATCGAGTGTGTGAGCGCGCAGGTTTAAGGCGCCCCTGATTCTTTTCTGTTGTTGATCGTAAGAGTCGGCTCGGACCTCGGTCGTTTTGCTTAGGTGATATTAAATATTATTTCATTTTTGATTAAACCACGATTTATGAATATTTTTTGCAATGGAATCATGTGGGGGTGTGTTGTATTCGCGGGATTGCCTGTTGTGCAATTACAAATTGTTTTCGTGGCTGCACTACGGTCGCACCCTATTTTGCATTAGGACGTGGTGCCGTGGGCGGAACACGGGGCAATGATTGTTTTAAGGGCCTGCGGGGGCCGTAGCCCGTGGGGTCCGTGGTCGTGGGTTCCCTCGCTTCCCCTTGGGAGAACGTGGATACGCTCCGAGCAGGCCACCGGACGGCGACAGGGAAAATTTGCTGCTACCACCAAGGTCCGTACTGGACCCTGTCCGCTAAGGCCCATGCTCGGGCCTTACGGCAGGCCGAGCCTTTAGTACCGTGGCCAGCTGTTTGAAGGGGAGTCTGGCCAGTGGAAGCCCGAAGGGGTGGTGGGCTTCGAACAACACTGAGGGGGTTGTGGTGACGGCCTGCCGAGCAGTGACCAGCTGCGTATAGGGGTGAAAGACTAATCTAACCACCTAGTACCTGGTCCTCTCCGAAGTTTCCCTCCACATGGCTGGAGCCAGTAAGGGTGAGGCCAGAGGGAACTCTGGCTGAGGCTTGCAGTGATACTGAAGTGCAAATCGTTCATCGGGCCTGGGCTTAGGGGCGAAGACTCCGCGACCCGTCTAGCAGCCGATCCCCTCCGAAGATTCGCCAGGCCGACCGGCTGTTGGACCACGCGGTGTGTTGAGAAGCAGGGGAATGACGGGCAGCGCTGYGCAGCATTCGGGACGGGCAGTGAGCGGAAAGAGGCAGCAGGCGCCGATATCAGGCAGGGCGAGRAAGAAGTAGGACAGGGAGYCGGCAGGCCCGAGGCCAAGTGCGGTAGTACGGCCAGCGGGGGCTGAACCCGRGCGGCGTTATGCACCGGGTGCATCCGACAGCGGAGCATGACGGGGAAATGACCAGGGCGGTGCATGGCAGAAGGGATGAGCACCGGGGTACGTAGAGGTAAGGCGGAGAGACGAGTTAGCGGGCGCAGCASACGAGGCYGGTGGCAGCAGAGGAGCCGTGGACGCTAAGGCAGTGGAGTGAGGGGGAGGAACTAGCWAGTGGAATGAACCGGGGCGCGTTTTTGCGTCGGGTTCATTCAGAAAAGGCAGCAGCGGGAGGGATAACTATGGCGGACTTCGAAGGTGATCACTGACCGGCTGCCGGTATTGACCAACACACACATCCGGGCAGCGCAGATTGGAAGCGCAGGAAAGGCCAGGGGAGCGGAACTGAATATCGACGTAAAGGGGTATAGGGTACATACGGGATAGAGGGCGACGCTGTGCAGTAGCAAGGCGGAGCTGCAGAAGCAGACATCGAATGTAGGGAGGTGGGAGGCGATCRRRGGAACAGGGGAGCAGTCGGGCGAACGGTGCTAGGACGGGAAGGTGCGGCGCTGATGTAGGTGGCGTCATGGCAGCGTGAAGTCGGGCGACTGGGCAAAGGAAATAACGGGATGAATACGGGTAGTTTATTGCGCMCCGTGCATGCAGGCGAGGAGAACGGGTACTGATTAGGCGGAGCAGYGGGCACTGYGCAGAAGTGGCGACGGGCACTGAAGAAGTAAAAGAAAAAAATAAAGAAAAGAATCTGGGTGCTCTCCGCGTCCAGGTGMRTTCGGAAGTGGAAGACGAGGGAGATGGTGAACAGYGAGGGAAGAGGAAGCTTTCTCGACCGATTMATAATGAAATCGGCCCRGAGAAGATGGTAGATAGGGGTTATTTGAYAAGGCGAGATGGATGATAGAGTTARAATGGCAGATGGGTTAGTATAGAACGAGTTGGTGAGAGTGAAGGTGCGTGGAGTTATGGCGGAGTGAGGAAGGAAACGAATGCGATTCACTCATTCCTGAGCGGAAAGAGGTGGGAAAAGATTCGATTCTGGGGTTCTTACCCCGGGCGAATACCGTAGTAGTGCGAGTTCTAGCATTGGGTTAGTGGATAGAGAGTTAGTAGGAAGTGGGGCTGCGCGATACTATGGGGGGAGAAGGCTGTGGAAAAAGGGGATGAATCTGCCCGTTTTCTAGTAAAAGATTCTCCCCCACTTTCTGCTTTTATTTCTTTCGTCTTCTTTTCTCTCTTTCCCCCCCCCCTTTTTGATTCTTTCCTTACTTGATGAGTGATGCGTTCGGCTGTCTTGGCTGTCGAGGAGTCTCGTTTTACCTCTCTGCGAACATGGGTGAAAGGGTAGTGTACCTGTTCGAGTTCTAGCAGAAGATTCAGCGAGTTTGGGGCGGAAGCGGCCGGGCAGTTCGGAGGTAAACGGGCGTAACGACTGAAGTTCGTATGCACRTACCCRCACACACCTGACGGATGCACCCGGTCCTGTCCGGGCAGGCGATTWACTTGATCTTGCTCGCTGCCTCCAAAGGAGCTTGCGTGGTGYARCCGAGCTTGATTGGASGCCTATCTGCTGGCCGCGACAGYTGTCTGCGACAGTCGACTGAGTGACTGTTTTCAGTGAGGAGTGGGTTCGACTGTGTTCTACAGTCAACTCGATCTGAGTTTCGCAGTCCAACTTAGCCTGTGTTCCACAGTCTTATTCAGCCTGTTGCACAGGGTGGAGAAAAAATAACTGTGGAAGGCAGGATCTGCAATGAGGGATGAGTTGTAGGATGGGCTATTAGTCATAGSTGGGCTATTAGTCGGAGCTATGTGGAGAGAATGTGACTGCTACAGACACTGAGCGTCCGGTGGAGCCGCCCCCTCGTTGAGTTTCTAGCTGCTGCATGCTGCTGCGGACTGTGGTGGCTACTATGAACTGCTGGTGTCTTGACTATGTGTGACGGTGGCTCTATTGAGTAGGACATGGACTGTTACTACCGCTGTTTGGTTGCTGGGTTATTTGGCAGTGGACAGGCTGTTGCAGGCATCAACATTCTCGTCACCTGGAAATTTTGGCGTTCTGCTGTTATCTGATGACTACCACTGTATACAAATGATTAATACCTGCTGATTACTGCGGACAGCTGCGTACAGCCAGAAGCCACGAGGGACTGCCGATTGGGCACTATTGATATATATATATTGGATTGTGGCCGACTGTTGGGTGGCCGCGAAGAGACTAGGGAAGGTGCTGGGATTCGGAGGAATGATTCGGCTGCAAGATTGAAGGTAATTGCAGATTGAGGGACCTTCAGAGGATCGACGATTAATTGACTTCAGGGCTTCACCAAGCTGATGCAGGTTGGCCATCATTGCAGGGCCCTCAGGCGTTGAAGGCAACAAGACCCTCTCACGCGAGTCTCAGTGTACCATCCTTGGATCTCGAGAGTCTTAAATCCATCTCTTTCTGCCCTTCTAAATCTAAGTCTAGTCCTGATTTGAGAGGAAGGCGTCAGGCGGGATTGCAACCCATAGGACCGCAGCAAGACTCTGTGGGGAGTTTGCCTACCGATTGCGGGAGCTCTGTCGGGACTCAGGAGGAGTCCTGGAGGCAGGGAATCGTCAGGTAAACCATTTCCGTCTGTACAACCTACTACCACCCATGTCTGTTTGTCCCCCTGCAGTGTGACTGTTGTATGCATGAGGTTGTCCCTATGGCTTTTGCTTTCTCTTCAGGACCCAAATCAGACTGAATGGAAGGAACGTGTGAAAGTGAAGTCTAAGTTTCTTCTTTATTTTGGTTGAAAGCAGACGGAGGGATAAACTGGGGGGAAGGTGGGAGGAAGGTAATCTTGCATGCGTTTGGAAGGGTAAACCAAAGCCTGAGCATTGTTTTCATGGTGAATGGCTCAGGGCTGTGTTTTGTTTGACTCTTTTCTGAAGGACCAGGCATTGTTTCCGAGATGAATGGCCTGGTTGCTGTGTTTATTTAGTTGTTTTCTGGGAAACCAGGCATTGTTTACATGGTGAATGACCTGTTTGCTCTAGTTAACTCTGGGGGTTTGCCTGATTGAAGGATTTTAAGTTCTTGTTTATTCTGAGAGAGGATTTCTGGTCTAAGGCTCAGCATTGTTTCCATGGTGAATGGTTTAGCCTGAAAACCACACACATAAGTTAAGCTGAGTGTAAAGTAAAAATATCTACATTTGCATGTGAACTGACAGCTGGGCATTGTTTCCATGGTGAATGATCCAGCGTTAAGCCATATCATTAAGAACAGAAAGGAAAAAATACGAAGTCTAAATGGAAATAGTTTTGGGCAAGCTGAACATTGTTTCCATGGCGAATGGTTCAATCCCCTGCCCATATTTGCTTTCCTTTTTTTTGAAAACAAAGTCAGAGAAATACTAAACCTTGGATATTAAACGGCTCAGGGCGGCTAAGCATTGTTTCCATGGCGAATGTCCTAGTCATACGCCCAAAAGAAGAGAGAAGTAGTTGTGCAACCTGTTCATGTATATTTTAAAGGCAAGTTGGGCATTGTTTCCATGGCGAATGGTCCAGCTCTATGTCTTATGTAAGAGGGGAATAAGGGTTCAAGGACTTAAAAGATTCATAAACTATCTATAAGGAATGAACTTGGGGCAGGTGAGAGTACTTACCTTTGTGGTTTGGCTTGCATGTGACTGAGTGAGGCCACTACTTAGTCTGAGTTTCAGGTTGGTAGGTAGTTGCTTTCGTTGCTCGCCACGTGCTAGAGTCATAGGAGTTAGTATCAATTCTTGCATTTTCTGTAATAACTTTCTTTACATAGGTCAATTCTTGCATTTTCTGATACATTTTCTTATACTTGGCTTTGTATAAATCTTGGCAAGCTACTTTCTCTACGGGAAGCGCTGCCGAAATTTCTACAAATCCAAGGAGATAGTTAAATTTTGGCTTGTCGAAAGTTCAACTTTGTCCTTTCTCTTATCTGACTTAATTAAAATCTGGGAAGTCTCCTTTTCTAAAGGGAGTGCTGTTCAAATTCTTGCTAAATCAAGGAGTTAGACAAAATTGAACTTTGGGAGGTGAAAATTACTTTCAAATTCTGAACCTAGCCTTGTATAGATTTCGGAATAACACTTTTCTAGAAGGAGTGATGCCAAAATTTCTACAAAATTAAGGAATAAGTTAATTTCAGTCTAAGGTTGAGTACGAGCTGTTGATCGAGTTCATATCTGACTGAGTATAAATCGGGGAAGTCTCCCTTTCTAAAGGGAGTGCTGCCCAAATTTCTACTAAATCAGAGAGTTAGACAGAATTTGACTTTCCAGAGTTAGACATAATTTGATTTTCCTGCTGTATATCTGACTTRGTAAAAATMTGAAAAGTCTYCTTTTCTAAARRGGGTGCTGCCCAAATTTYTACTAWTTCAGGGAGTTGRACAAAATTTAGCTTTCCAAAGTTAGAAATTATTTATATTTCTCATATTTAGACTTATATAAATTCTGGAAAGGCGTTTTTCCTACGGGAAGCGCTGCCGAAATTTTCTTAGTTTAAAGGCGATRGACTATATTTTKAYAGGTGGCGATTCAGGCAATCCACCCAGAATAAGGGGAGATTCCGTAGTTGGTCTACCTTTAGTTTAAGCATTTSGTTTAAAAATAGACTTAAGTTTAGCTTATAAGAGAGATTTTTGAGTGAGGATGTATTATGGAGTTATATTCTCCATACACKTATGATCTTAGCTTGGGGATTGGTCTGCCATATGTCTCAGGTCCTTTGATCATTTGATCCAAGTTCAGGGCTAGATCCAGCTTGATCCCTTGAAAATCACTTACTGTTATCACGGATAACAGGTCGGTTGCCGATTCGTCGGTCTACGACTCAATTTCAACTATCCCTCTACACTCAACCTAAAAGGTTTTAGCCCTGGTGATTTCGTGGTTTTATTAAGGTTTCACCCACACTTTTATTGATTGGTCATTTAACAAAGGTGCTGAGTATTTAATTAAGGTTGGTTGGAAAGGAGGTTTGGGGCTTGCATGGCTAAAGCGAGGGGTATGAGTGTCCAAGGTGGTTGAGGTTGACTTCATGTAGTATGTGGGTTGTTGATTTGGTTCGTTGATGTGATGGGAGGTATATGCTGTGAAGTAGATTCTGAATCTCGTTGCCTACGATCACACATATACATATTATTGTGAGAAACCCTAGTGAGACCGTGAAAAGTGATCGTCATATACTTAACCCTTATATATGTATACATGGGTGTACTTGGGATGAATGTTTGCATGGGTTGAAAAGCCCCACATTAGAGCCCTACTCAGAAGCTGCGACTGAGGGGCTTAGGGGGAGGTCTCTCCTTTTATTCTTGTCTCTTGCTTTTTGATGATTTTCTTAGTCGGACGTTTGGTCCTGGGCCGGGATTCGAGGTCCTTGACCAGGACATCCCAAGCCCTAGGCTCTGCAGGGGAGGGGTTTTCCCTCGCGCAGAGCCTATTGGATTTGCCTACCGAGACACTCAGGCAGAGAGCCTAAGGTGCAGCGGCGGCTGCACGACTATTTCCTTCAGTCGTGCAATGTCGTGAAGGGTTAGGCCCCCACGACACTTCAAGTCTGACGCTCGAGTGTCATAAGCGGTACTCGGATCCACGAGGGACCGCTTGATTATGGGCTACGCCATCGTTGCAACTGCTTGTGTACGCCTGCATTGCAAGTCGATATGAGTATGCCCTGTCTCCGCGCGGTTTTATACTTTGTTCAGCGCGCGACGCCTATCCGATTTCCGCACTGGAAAGTTATGAGTTGGCTACCGAGGGGCTAGGAGCATTGTGGCATTGTTGGTATTGTGTCGTTTCGTGTATATGTTGTTTTGTGTGTAGGTGTATTCGTAAAGTGGAGTGCGCGTGGTGTGTGGGATGCGTCCTAGTCGACCGACGATGAGTCGCGCTTGGGACCTCAGCCCCCCCAAGATGTCGGTTCGCGTGCGGGTCCGATAGAGGCGTATTACCGCGCGTACCCCCTATGCTACAGCGATCGAGAAACGCCCTCGGCTGGTCCACCTCTGCGATTGCAACTGATTAGCTTTCGTACTGTGGACTGGTAGCTCGGCGGGGATACGCCCATCGAAGGGAGGTGACAGCTCCCGTAAGGTGTAGGTAAGTCGTGCCTCGCGTAGTCCCAATCCTGTCGTAGGGGCTCACGAGAGGTATGGCTGGCGCACCCGGCCGGAGCGGCTTGCGAAAGCTCCACGTATATTGCGACGAAGGGTTGTGAAAGCCAACTCCTGCGTGACGCGGCCGGGAGGGTCCCGCGCTGCCCGCGTGCGGTGCCGGACCGATGCGCCCGACAGGTGGCGCCGTTGCCGCGGAGAACGGAAAGCCTACCGTTGTCCCTGGTGGAACGACATCCGGGTATGAGAAGTAAATAAGAAAAAGCATAAAGGAGTGATGAAAAGGTAATGAAGGAATATATGAATGACTAAGTGTAGGTGAGGAAATTTACCTACCCAAGTAGAGGAAGTATGAGGGACKATCGTGTTAACAGTGGGTAAAGTAAGTACTAAGGGTTAGGTAGGACGAATGGAATAGACCAGTCAAGGTATAATGTTGAATAAGGGGATGTACTTGTTTTCTTTTGCCAGGGAACTTAAAAAGAAAAGGTTGTCAAGATGCCTGAGACTGGCGACGCATCCGTTGTTCCCAAGAAGGGTCTGACACTCGATGACCTCATCGCGGCCATCGACCGACATGAAAGGAACCCGAGCAACATCCCAAAGGTCGATACTTTCCATTTCTGTGGGGAGAGAGTCTCAGAATGGCTAGAGCGGGTGGAACAAGCTTTGGTCGGGCGGCCGGATGTTGTAAAGTTTCAACGCATCCTTCAGTATGTCTCCACAGCTACCATCAGGAGGTGAAGAAAGTCATAGATGCGGCTCAAGGTAGCTGGGAGAGGTTCAAGGAGGGGATGCAGAGGAAATACCGCCTGGGAGACGGGTTGTTGACTACCACGGACCTTGAAGCGATGAACAAAGAGGATTTTACGACTATAGGGGCCTTTGTTCAAGAATTTAAGAAGAGGGCGGGGAAGGTCCATGGGATTTCGGAGGAAGCACAGTGCGCCATCTTCCTGGGGTTATTCACAGCATCGGAGACCGTCGAATTGATGAGACATGGAGGAGGTAGCACTAAGCTCACCTGGGCCACCATTGACAGAGGGGTGGAAGTTGGGTTCTTGGACCAGGTGGAACAACGTCAGGTACGCCTGCAAAGACAGAGGAGAAAGGAAAGAGATGCGACCGCTTCTGGGACCCCGGGAGTAACAAGGATTGTTACAGACGTATTGGCACAGCTAGGGTATGCGACAGAGCCAGTGGTGCAAAGAAGGGTGGTGACGGCTGTCAAAGTAAAAGGAAAAGAGCCAGTGATAGAGGAGGCTGGCCAGGAGGAGCTCTGGGAAGAGGAAGAGCCARTGCCGCAACACCTGACGAAGGTCCAGCGCAAAGTGCGTAATTTGGCGCAGGGCGGACAGGGATCAGGAAAAGCGCAGGCGCCTCAAACCCAGGCAGCAGCCCCTTTAAATGTGGCGGCTCCATCATCTAGTACGGGCCCCTCGCAAGGCAGAGCGCCTTTCTATGGACAGTGGCTCTGGCCGGTGATCAACGCAATTGTGTCATGGGGAAGTACGCCGCCAGTAGCCGGACCGCAAACGAGTATGCCACCACCCATCTACCCCGCGGCCCAGGCCCAACCTGTGGCCCCGCCACCATCACCTGATCCCAGTTCACAGGGCAGTGTTGTAGGGGGTGGGAACTAGGGGCTGGGCAATCAAGGCAGTGGAGGGAGGGGTGGAGGAAAGGGGCGAGGCAGGAATGGCGGCGGAAGAGGAAGGCAATGGAATGGCCAAGGCCAGGGGTACCAAGGCCAAGGGAGTCAAGGCCAGGGGTACCAAGGCCAAGGGAGTCAAGGCCAGGGGTACCAAGGCCAAGGGAGTCAAGGCCAGGGGTACCAAGGCCAAGGGAGTTAAGGCCAGGGGTACCAAGGCCAAGGGAGTCAGGGCCAGGGGTACCAAGGCCAGGGCTATCAAGGCAAGGGGTATCAAGGCCAGGGGGATCAAGGAAGTCAGGGGTATGGAAGACCCCGCTTTGACTGGAGGACGGCCATTTGTCAACATTGTGACCAGCAAGGCCACACTATAAGGTTCTGTAATATAAGACGGGAAGACGAGAGAAGCGGGCTGATTTCCTCTACTATGGATGGGGATATCTACGATCAATTTGGGGAGGCCATTGACAGAAGGCTTGGAGGAGTGAGGGCTGAAGCCCAACGAAGAGCGGCAGCGGGACCACCGCCCCCTGCCATGTTCAGGCTATGGCAGGAAAAGGAGGAACCACCGTTTGGGGTGGAAGAAGTGGGAAGTGATGAGGAAGTAACTCAAGGGCTACGAGGAGGAAGTGAGACGGAAGAGGCCATAATCATCGAGTCAGATGACGAGGAAGAGGAGGAAAGAACGGAGCCTCCGTCCGTCTTATTTGAGAAGATGAAGGACTTGCTGGATAAGATGGGGAGGTACCAAGAGAAGTTGGTGGGCCTCTGTAAAGAAGTGAAAGGATGGAGGTCTAACATCCCCACAGCATTCCTCTATGACTCCGGCCCGGAGTCAGCGCCTGGGCGACCCGGAGTAAATGTGGTGGGGTCGTGCCCTCAACCAGGAATGAGGGGGAGACCCCTCACTCCGCAAGCCCGGCTGGCACAGGCAGCGCGAACGAGGAATCAAGCCAAGGCCAGTACCGGCCAAGAGCCTCCAAGGGGGGAACACGAACCAGGGAGAAGGAAAGAGGTTGTGGAAGTAGAGGACGACGATGACGAAGAGGAAGAGGATGAGAGGCTGCGCAGAGAAGACGATCAGAGAGCGGAGCAGCGGGCAAGGAAAAAGGGGATCAGGGGAGAGGCCGAACCGGTCATACAGGACGGACTGCCCAAAAAGAAGAAATACGCGGTCCGGTTGGAAGAAGGATTTGACGTAGAGAAGGTGATTGACTGGCTGCTGGAAGGGCATAATGACCTCATGACCCTGAAGGAAATCCTAGCGTCAGCCCCGCGACTCCGCGATGAACTGAAGGGGAGGTTATCACGGCGCCTGGTGCCCAATGTCCATCTAGGTACGATCCTGCCCAAGGAGGCAGAGTGGGCAGAGTCAGGTACGAAGATGAACTGGAAGTGCATAGCCTGCGGTACGGTGGATTTGATGGTAAAGGGTTCCAAGTGCGCAGCAATGGTGGACATCGGGGCAGAGATGAACATTATTCAGGAGGCGGACGCGATCAGATTCGGGCTGGATATAGACCGTTCTGACTGTGGTATTCTGCATAGAGCCAGCTGTAAGGCCATGTTTTGCTGGACAGCCTCGAATGTGCTCGTCGAGGTTGGAAAGGTGAAGGTCAGGGCATGTTTCTTCATAATGTCAAACGTGGACCATGGAATCCTCCTGGGGAGGTCATTCCTAAGCAGGACAGAGACCGTGATGTTCAACAAACATGATGGGACGTTGATCCTCCTCTTATGCGATCCTGCCTGCGAAAATTATGAAATAATTACTTGCCAGAATAACGGGCCAAGGAGTATAAGGAACCGGCCCAATCCAGGATCATGCAAAATCGAGGAGTCGGAAGGGGAGCGCAGAAGGCTCTGGGCAGAGTCCGAAGTAGGAGAGAGGGTGGAAGCATTTTCCCTCAGCCTGTCAGATGTTGGGAAGGCCATGGACCTGGTGGCCGCGCATGAGATGACAGATCCGGATGCCATCCAGGCCTTGAGGGAACAAGTTCTGGAATGCCCTGAGGCAGGAAGGTTGGAACAGGTATATCGGCTCCCAGGCAGTGGAGGGAACCCCGCATCAGTGCAAACACAATCCGTGAGTCGGCCTTTTTTAGGGGAAGGCTCAAGCAGGGTTCCCAAAGGCGGTACAAGACGGTAAATAAAAAATGTCGCCCGGTACCCGTCCTCGTTTCAGAGGACGAGGAAGCATATGACGAGAGGGAACGAGGGTTGATTCGACAAATGAGGGAAAGTGGTTTAGCAGGGCCATATCGTATCAACGAAGGGAACGAGAAGGAGTTGATCATAGGGGAGTCTGATTTCCTGCTGCCTCAGGAGCGAACGCTGATGGTGGAATTAATGAAGAGGAAGCATCGCGCCTACGCATTTAGTGACGAGGAGCGTGGCAGGCTGGATGTAGATAAGATACCTATGATCCGCATCCACACCATGCCACACGAGCCTTAGAACATGAGAGGGGCGCGGTATCCCAATCCTGACGAGGAGAGGAAGGTGGTGGATTATCTCGACGGCAAGATACGTACTCACGTCGCCGACTATTCAAGTGGACCGTATGCGTCCCCGTGGTTCTGCTTTATTAAGCCTAACGGGACGTTGCGGTGGGTGCAGGATTCGCAGAGATTGAACGCAGTGACCGTGCGAGATGCTGGAGGACTGCCGAATGCAGACGCGCTGTCGGAATCCTGTGTTGGAAAGCCTATAATTTCGCTTATAGACCTTTACTCAGGATACGATCAGTTCCTAGTCTACCCGTCGGATAGGCCGGTGACAGTTATGCGCACGCCGCGAGAATTAGTCCACATGAACGTGGCCCAACAAGGGTGGACCAACGCAGTAGCAATGGTCCAACGGGCCATGATTCGGGCCATGCAGTCAGTCAGCCCCCATATCACACAGCCATACATTGACGATTTGGCAGTGAAGGGGCCGGCGACGAAAGAGAGCGACGAAGTCTCACCATGGGTAAGGCGCTTTGTCTGGAAGCACATTCAGGATCTCGAAAAGGTCATGAGCCTGCTCGAAGAGCATAACCTCACGGCAAGCGGGGCCAAATCCAGACACTGCATGAGGGAAGCGACTATCTTTGGGATAGTCTGTAATGAGAAGGGTCGAAGGCCGGATGTGAAGAAGACGAACAAGATTACTGAGTGGCCAGTTCCGTTCCACTCAATAACTGATGTCAGAAGCTTCCTTGGTACGTGTGGATTTTGGAGGGTCTTCGTCAAGAACTTTGCCGCTAAGACTGGACACCTGAGGAAGTTAGTCCGTCAGGATCAGGAATGGGTATGGGGTGAGGAACAAGAAGAGGTGGTAGCAAAAATGAAGGAGGAATTTCGAGAAGGAGGGTTGGTGTTAGGAGCGCCAGATTATGACGCCACAGAGACGCGACCCTTCATTGTCGAGACGGATGCGGGACCGACTACCTTAGGGGGAGTTTTAATTCAGGCAGACATGGAAAGGAAGGAAAGACCCTTGCGATTTGACAGCCGGACTCTCTGTACGACGGAGAGGAACTACTCTCAGTTCAAGAGGGAGACCCTTGCTGTCCTCCATTGTCTGCGAATCTTCCGGAATTATATCTTTGGCAGGAGGTTTATTTTTAGAGTGGATCCGACCGCCCTGGCCTACTCTCTAAGGAATTACGTTCCATCGGATCCGACGATTGTCAGATGGCTGACATACATCTGGATGTTCAATTTCGAATAGGAACGGATTCCTGGTAGTAAGAACCGGGCGGACGAGCTGAGTCGGATCAACTTGGATAAGCAGGAAGGGGAGGCGGTGGAGAATACGCCCCAAGTTGATGGATTTCTAGATCAGGAAGAAGTTGTTCGTCTTCATATCAACAAATGGTCGCCGCGAGTGCCTAGCTGTGTAGGCTATCCTATCTGGCAAGCGTCGAAGGGGTATGAAAGGAGAAAATAGGTTAGTCCTTAAGCCCTTTAAAGAAGAGGATCCCTGGGGCGGTAAGGATGTTCAGTGGATGATGGAATTAGCGTTGGCCAACTCGCATAGCCTGGTGGAGGATATGAGGACGATTGAGGAAGGATCTGGCCAGGTAGAACGGCATGAGGACCTGATGGGAGGAATGTATCTTCTCGTCAATACGTTATTGCAAAAAAACCTAGACAAGTCAAGCTCGTTGAACCCGGCAGGGAATGTGGACGAAATACCCGAGAGTCAGGACGACGAGTTCGAAGAAGGGGAAATTAAGGAGGTTTTTCGTGCAGAGGAGTACGACGGGATCTACCAAGAGCTGGGGCTTCTTCTGTCATGTGAAATGCGGCTAAGAGATGCGAGCGATAGGGCTCAAAGGATGTTGCAACGCTACTTAGTGCGAGACAGTCACCTTTTCGTGAGAAGGGAAGTGGGGAATCCCAGGAGGGTCGTCTGCGGTGGGAATCGTCAGATCGACGTCGTAGCAACACTACACGATGGCATTGCAGGAGGGCATCGAGGGGTATAAGCCACGTATGCCAAGATAAGTGAGTTGTACTACTGGGATGGAATGATGGACATGGTCGGAAAATTCTATCGATCTTGCGTACCCTGCCAGGAGAGATCCCGTTTAAGGCAGGGAGAGGCGCTGCATCCAAGGTTAAAGCGAGAGGTAGGGGCCGTAGTGCATCTCGATCTGCTTTTTATGTCACTTGGGGATCAGGGCTATAACTATATCCTCGATGCGCGCGATAACCTGTCTGGGTTCATAGACGGGCGAGCTAATCACACAAAGACCGGATCAGTCCTGGTGAGCTGCATCGAGGAGTACTACCAGCGTTATCCTTTCGTCAAGGAATTCGTAATGGACAGGGAATCAGAGTTTACCTGCCACGAGGTGCAAGAACTGTTAGCAAGATATGGTGTGGCAGCCAACTACACCACGGCCACGCACACCCAGGCAAATGCTCCCGTAGAGAGAGGACATAGTACCATTACGAACCTCCTGGCCAAATGGACCGAAGGTAGGCCTAATCAATGGCCAAGATACCTAAGGGCGGCTTTCTTTGTCGAGAACATTACAGTAAAGAGATCCACCAAGTACGCACCTGCGACGCTTTGGTACGGAAGGCATGCCACCTTCCCTATCGAAAGCTTTCTTAAGACGTGGAGGCGCTGGGATCTGGAAGTCAACCTGTCATTTGAAGAGTTGCTCGATATTCGGGCGCGGCAGGTCGGGGCGATAGAAGAAAGGATCCAGGAGGAATCTGATCAGGTGGCGAGAAGCCGTATGGATGATAAGGCCCGATGGGATTAGTCTGCGCGAGTGAGGAAAGTATCCTTGGCAGTCAGGGATGTCGTGCTTCTCTACGATACGTCGCTGGAGAAGCAGTGGTCCAGGAAGCTCGATAAGAGATGGTTAGGTCCCTACCGAATTGTACGGGTCGGAGACTTCGGAGCATACCAGATCGAGGAGTTAAATGGGACTGAGTGGAAGGATTGGGTATCTGGAACGCGACTGAAGAAATTCGTGGCGAGAGAAGAGGTAAGAGAGATGACCTGACCGCCCCTAGAATAAGAAGTAACAGGGTGTGTAGGTTAGGAAGGATGCATGCTGCATAAGTGTGGTCTGGTCTGAGCTTGCTCTGATTATCACCTGCTTGCTTACTCCAACGTGTGTCTGTTGTCTCCTTCGCCTGTTGTGCAGGTCTGACTTTACGAAGACAGTCATGCCAAGAGGAGGGAAGGGGACACGGCCGCCTCAGAGGCCGTTGGGCGCATCAGGAGGATACGAGCGGCATGGGCCTCGCCAACGAGAGAGTACTCCAGTCTACAATGATGGGGACATCGAGCTATTCCTGGACAGTTTCTGGGAGCATGCGAGGCGTATGGGTTGGACCGTCACTCAGGCGATTGAGAGATTGAGGGGAGCAGGTAGGTTCGAAGAGCCCATTGCCAGGATTCGTAGGGAGGCGACGAGAATGGAGGAGTTGCGACCCTCGCCTGTGGGACCTGATGGCAGTCCGTTCCGCCTGGAGATTGAAAATGCGTCGGACTTCATCCCCGCGTTTGAGATGTTCATGCAAGAGCAGGGCATGCAGAGAGATGATTGAATGCAGACACTACCACTCTGGACCAGGAAGGCAGAAAGGCCACTGGCTATGCAGATCAGGGACATGGCACGAGATTGGGAAAGCTGCAGGGCACATTTGAGAGARGCCTTTCGACGGCCAGAGCTCCCTCAGCCCAGAGTCGAGAGGCGGCAGAGGAGTCAGAGGCCGAGGGACCCTGAGCCCAGGGAGGCGAGACCATCTCGAGGAGGACGGAAGGCTCTAGCCAGGAGAGAGCAGGAGCCAGAGGATGAGGAGCGAGGGGCATACCCTGAGTGTGGGTTGGGGCCAGTGGAGTTCCATCGTTTTACTGAGGGTGGATTGAGGAGGTCGCCAGCACACACACAGGGGGAGCCACCAGCGTCAGAGGGGCCCTTGAGGGAATTGGAGATGCATTTAGATATTTCTCGGTGGAGGGCGTCGCTTCAGGGTAAGGGGCATGGAGGGGCAAAGAAGGTGCCACGAGAGGAGGTACCACAGGAAGAGGTCCGGGGTACTCAGCGAGAGAGAGGGCTGGGCGATGAGGGGAGACGTGCAGGGAAGGAAGTGATAGAGGTTGGAGAGGACACGCCCTCACAGACGCCAGCAGTGGGTTTGAGACTCGGGGATGCACTAGGGAGCACCCGGCAGGCAAATGAGGGGTTACAGAGAGAGGAGACCCCTTTGCCTTCGTCAGAAAAGGCTCCTTCGCCAGAAGGGAGGGCAGAAAGGAGGAGAGAGAGGGCAGCTGTAAGGAGAGAAGCTTTGATCCTGATTGATAGGCACCTAGCAGCTCATTCCCTCGAGTGCCCAGACCTGGAGGAGCCAGCACCTGCAGAGCCACGCCAGGAGTCATGTCAGCCCGAGAAGAAGATGGAAGCAGAAATCCCAAAGAGGTTCGACCTCCGCACGAGGGAAAGGGTGCCAGCTGGAGAGACGGCTGAAGAACAGACGACGAGACGAACCAGGCGGATAGATGAGATATGGCAGGAGAGGCAGAGGTTGGAGGCAGCGGGGGAGCTCCCGGAGCAGCAGCAGGAGAGGCAGAGATCGGAGGCAGCAGGAGCACTCCCGGGTCAGCCGCCTAGCGCGCCATCCAAGGCCCCGGAAATTCCTGAAATGTGGAGAGACTTCTGGGAGCAGAGAGGAGAGGAGCTTCCATCGCCAGTCAGAGCCGGGTTTGGGGTGGCCAGGAAGGCGAAAGAAAGGTTAGATCGTAAAATCAAGTTCCTGGCCAAGACCACTTTTGATCGGCACTTGTTATTGGATGGCGATCTGGCGGGGAAGCAAATGAAGGAAGCCAGCCATGGAATACGTCTGGAGGCTATGGAGGTGGAAATTCAGGAACTTAGGGCTTTGGTGGCCAGCCAGGCAGCTATCATTGAGAGCCTGAGGCAGCGAACCCAAGGAAAGGTGGACAGACTAGAGAGCAGCCGGCAGGGAGAGTAGAGGCAGCCAGGACAGGGATTGCCAGGACAGCCATCTGCGATAGAGCCTCGCCAGGAGCCGCCTATGGGGAGAGTTATCCTGGAGCCAGAGGAGGCGAGAGCCCAGAGACAGGGAGAGAGAGAGGCGTTCGAGTTTAGAGCCCCTACTAAGCTCGCGACGCTGCCGGTGGCGGCGGCAGGCCCAGTCGTACCTTTGGCAGTAGAGGAGGGACTGCCACCATCTAGCAGTGAGCCGGCTCAGGGCTCGGCAGAGAGATCCATGGGCGTGTTCCTTGAGGCGGTGCATACTATGCAGGAGGAGGTGAGTTTGTTTTCACCTGAGCAGAGGATAGAGGAGCCTCTTGAGAGAGAGATGGGGATTGAGGAGGAGGGTGTCATCGAGGGCAGACTCCAGTGGATAGGCACACCTGAGTATGGACCAGAGAAGATTGAGGAGCAGCCCACGGCAGTGCCAGGGGCGGCACTCGAGAGGAGGCCTCAGAGGTTGGACACACACGAGTACGTTCCAGCGACAGAGGATTTGAGAGGCAGACTAGGATTTTGGGCTACTGGATCTGGGTCTGGTGGACCAGTTCCGGGGACAGAGCGGCAGGAAGTCGTTGGTACTGCAGCTCCTCAAGCAGAGCAGCAGGGGGTTATTAGTACCTTGGCAGGATATCCTTCATTACCACCTCCTCAGCCCAGGAAGAAGAAGTTCAAGAGGAAGGTTGATCAACTATGTTTCTACTGCAAGAGGAGCGCGCATCATGCTTTGGACTGTCTCGAGTTTCTTGAGGATAAGGCAGCAGGGAAGATCTGAGTGGTAGGGGGTAAAATGTATGATAGACAGGGTAGGATAGTAGAGAAGTCCGCAGATGGGACCTAGGGCTCAGTTATATAGGCAAAACCAGGAGGAGTTGAGGAGGTAGGGCCGGCTTTGTCTATATAAGCGAGCGAGCATTTTGTGAGGCATCAACTTAGGTTCTGTGTGATACTCTCTTAGACTTAGAAGACATTTTGATGATTACTGTTAATCTAGATCTGAACTCTAGTGTTTCTACTGAGTTGGGGTTTTGAGGGTCAGGGTGGTTTAGATGAGGCATGTACATATTTAGGTGGCCTACGCCCTGGCCTTTGAGAGACAGATCTGACATGTATTATAAAGGTTGTTGTCAGTGTGGGTTTGGTGTGGCTTGAGTTGAGCAAGCTATGATTTGGAGACACTTTTTATATGAGATATTGTATTCCCTTAGTGTATATTATGATGAGGTTTCCTTCAGGGAACATTCTTATATGTGACGATCACTTGTCTTTCTCACATGTGTGGTTATACTCTGATGTATGATGAGTTTGTGTGGACAATGTGTGAAAAATCTTTTATGTATCTTGGGTATGTGAATATGATTGTAAGTAAAACTGTCTACTCCTCGGTATACTTGTGCGACCTGCCCACGGCAGCTGATAAGGCAGAGTATAAGGGGAGGAAGCGCAGTCCGTCTGTGAAAGTTATCTAAGTTGTGATGAGGACCCATAAGATGGTCTCTCAGTGATGTTCTGTTTTATGATGGGACCCCCTTAGATTTTAAAAAAGGGAGGGGATGTTTCGTGATGTTTTGTGATGTAACGAAACCCCTCGTGACTTTGAGAGAGGGGGTGTTTGGTTTATGATGAGACCCTCGTGATTTCTGGAAGAGGGAATGTATTGTTTTATGGCGAGACCCCTCGCGATTTTTGGAAGAGGGGGTGTTTTGTTTGTGAAGAAAGTCCCTTTTGGATTGTTGGAAATGGGGAGTGGTTTTTTGGTTGAAAGACTCATCCTCAGAAGTGAGTAAATTGATTTATGGCATGACAAGTTGTTCGATGGGTGATAAAGTCTGACGGAAAGGGGCCACTTTTTGTTTGAAATATTTGAGAAAGTCGCAATGATTACAGGGCGAAAGATGTCTCAGGGTGGGTGGCTGCTGGCTCTAATCAAGTCAGGGATCACGGCCTGGTGGATTTAGCGGTGATTTTGCTTGTAAGCGTGCGAAGGAGGTCATGCCAATTGAAGGAGGGCTGGTAAATGCCTTCGGACCCCTGCGTATCGCGCAGTAGGCCTGTGATTTTGTGTTGACGCACCCGTTTAACCACTGGTGCTAATTCTGAGACATATTGAAGAAAGGCCAAGCTAACTGAAAAAAAGTTAGTACCTCTAGGGCGTAACCCCATTGGATGGCTGCTAACCAGCGCAACCTGGTTGCAGGACCACGGTTTAAGAGTTTAAGGGGAGTTACCCGCCCCAGGGAAATTACTCTGTGGGATAGTGAAGGTTGAGATTTTAGGAGGTCCTGATTGAGTACCTATCAGGAGAAACCTTATCGTTGCGTAACCAACGAGGGTACTGCCGTTAAATAACAATGCGGTAGGCCGTAGTCCTGGTCCGATCAACCAGGCTATGGTGGACCAAGATGGAGACCTGGCCTTTCTGTACTAGACTGCAGAAAGAGCGGAGTGGATATTAAGTTTATATATATACTTATATGTATTCGATTGCGAGAGATTTTGAGAAGGAAGGCGAGAGTGCCTTCAAAGGTCTCGGTTAAGGCCCGCGTCCCTAGTTTTTGCCAGGACTAGGGACACCCAACGAGAAGCCGAAGGTTGTCTAGGACCGGGGAGAGGACGATTGGGAAGGTCTTTGGAACTTATGCTGCCAGTTTCCTAATGTCTGGACGGTGTGAGGCCCAGGTTAGAAACCTGGCAGCATATAGTTATGAAGGCATGGTTTGATGGAGGCCTCTACCCTGTGTTTGTCGGCTAATCGGATTGGCTCCTGTTTCGTCAGGATTTGGAATGTGGATGGATTTATAGCTTTCTGATTTGGCGAAGCGACGGGGACGTCGCTTAATATGGTCCGATAGGCTGTACGTGCGAATACCCTAACAAGGGTATCCGCCCAGGTTTTTGCAAATAACAGAAAAATGTTTGGTTTAAAGTTTAAGTATACCGCGCTAAGCGCGGCTGCGTTTGTTATTGCGTTGACTAGGTGGTTGACCACAATAGCGAGTGTGTGAGCGCCCAAGTTTAAGGCGTTCGTGATTCTTTTCTGTTGTTGATCGTAAGAGTCGGCTCGGACCTCGGTCGTTTTGCTTAGGTGATATTAAATATTATTTCATTTTGATTAAACCAGGATTTATGAATATTTTTTGCGATGGAATCATGTGGGGGTGTGTTGTATTCGCGGGATTGCCTGTTGTGCAATTACAAATTGTTTTCGTGGCTGCACTGCGGCCGCGCCCTATTAGGACGTGGTGCCGTGGGCGGAGCACGGGGCAATGATTGTTTTAAGGGCCTGCGGGGGCCGTAGCCCGTGGGGTCCGTGGTCGTGGCTTCCCTCGCTTCCCACTGGGAGAACGTCGATACGCCCCGAGCGGGCCGCCGGACGGCGACAGGGAAAATTTGCTGCTACCACCAAGGTCCGTACTAGACCCAGTCTCCTAAGGCCCATGCTCGGGCCTTACGGCAGGCCGAGCCTTTAGTACCGTGGCCTGCTGTTTGAAGGGGAGTCTGGCCAGTGGAAGCCCGAAGGGGTGCTGGGTTTCGAACAACACTGAGGGGGTTGTGGTGACGGCCTGCCGAGCAGTGACCAGCTGCGTATAGGGGTGAAAGACTAATCTAACCGCCTCGTACCTGGTCCTCTCCGAAGTTTCCCTCCGAAAGGCTGGAGCCAGTAAGGATGAGGCCAGAGGGAACTCTGGCTGAGGCTCGCAGTGATACTGAAGTGCAAATCGTTCATCGGGCCTGGGCTTAGGGGCGAAGACTCCGCGACCCGTCTAGCAGCCGATCCCCTCCGAAGATTCGCCAGGCCGACCGGCTGTTGGACCACGCGGTGTGTTGAGAAGCAGGGGAATGACGGGCAGCGCTGYGCAGCATTCGGGACGGGCAGTGAGCGGAAAGAGGCAGCAGGCGCCGATATCAGGCAGGGCGAGRAAGAAGTAGGACAGGGAGYCGGCAGGCCCGAGGCCAAGTGCGGTAGTACGGCCAGCGGGGGCTGAACCCGRGCGGCGTTATGCACCGGGTGCATCCGACAGCGGAGCATGACGGGGAAATGACCAGGGCGGTGCATGGCAGAAGGGATGAGCACCGGGGTACGTAGAGGTAAGGCGGAGAGACGAGTTAGCGGGCGCAGCASACGAGGCYGGTGGCAGCAGAGGAGCCGTGGACGCTAAGGCAGTGGAGTGAGGGGGAGGAACTAGCWAGTGGAATGAACCGGGGCGCGTTTTTGCGTCGGGTTCATTCAGAAAAGGCAGCAGCGGGAGGGATAACTATGGCGGACTTCGAAGGTGATCACTGACCGGCTGCCGGTATTGACCAACACACACATCCGGGCAGCGCAGATTGGAAGCGCAGGAAAGGCCAGGGGAGCGGAACTGAATATCGACGTAAAGGGGTATAGGGTACATACGGGATAGAGGGCGACGCTGTGCAGTAGCAAGGCGGAGCTGCAGAAGCAGACATCGAATGTAGGGAGGTGGGAGGCGATCRRRGGAACAGGGGAGCAGTCGGGCGAACGGTGCTAGGACGGGAAGGTGCGGCGCTGATGTAGGTGGCGTCATGGCAGCGTGAAGTCGGGCGACTGGGCAAAGGAAATAACGGGATGAATACGGGTAGTTTATTGCGCMCCGTGCATGCAGGCGAGGAGAACGGGTACTGATTAGGCGGAGCAGYGGGCACTGYGCAGAAGTGGCGACGGGCACTGAAGAAGTAAAAGAAAAAAATAAAGAAAAGAATCTGGGTGCTCTCCGCGTCCAGGTGMRTTCGGAAGTGGAAGACGAGGGAGATGGTGAACAGYGAGGGAAGAGGAAGCTTTCTCGACCGATTMATAATGAAATCGGCCCRGAGAAGATGGTAGATAGGGGTTATTTGACAAGGCGAGATGGATGATAGAGTTAGAATGGCAGATGGGTTAGTATAGAACGAGTTGGTGAGAGTGAAGGTGCGTGGAGTTATGGCGGAGTGAGGAAGGAAACGAATGCGATTCACTCATTCCTGAGCGGAAAGAGGTGAGAAAAGATTCGATTCTGGGGTTCTTACCCCGGGCG